TTGTGTTTCGTCCTTTTTGCTTTTGGTTATCATTTTTCTTCAGTTATTGATCTGAACCGTTCTAAAACTTGATCGATCGATTGATATTATTTTAAGCTATCGGGTAGCACCTCAAAATTGCTAATCTTTACCTTACAAATATGAATTTTCTCAAAAATGAGAATAAAGAACAATATGATAATATCATCTAATACTCATTCGACGGTGACCGAAAGTCATATTTGACAACAGTTCTAAGGTGGTAGATTCCATTAATCTTACTTCAGATAAATTTTCATTGATTCATTCACATAGTACGATGAGTTGTATCAGTAAAAAAAAGAATAAAACTGAATGACAATACATCTGATTGCATCAAATGAAACGTGGCAATGGATTACTGACCTACCCAATTGTGTCATTTGCTTCACTTCCTTATCGTAACATTGATGTTTCAGCAGTCAGCTAGTAGTGATAAAGATAATCACTTTCCGTCTTCAAAAATAACTGCATCAATTGCACCAATTCGTCAACCTTCTCCAACAACGCTCTCATCTCATCCTCTCCCACAGGATTCACCACAAAACTTCAATAACAAACATCCTCAACCAGGTTACTCACTTTCCGTTTTTTCTCTTTAATTCCATTTATTTTAACATCGAAAAAACGACACAAAGCGAATGCTGTAATTGTAAGCATCTTCTCGGTACTGTTTTTACTATTAATATAACGGCAATTAAAGACATGAATGATTTGTTACTATGAGTAATATTATTATTATGTATTGTTGTTTTTTGGTTACAATTATTTGGATTGATTGATGAATTGGAATGAATTGAAATAGTGATGAATGAAATTGGATTTCAGGTGACGATATATTTATGATGAGCGCGAAAGAAGCTCGTTCGATGCTAGCGCATCGTAAGAAGGATCCAAGACGTGATAGGCAAATGACACTTGATGAGAAATACAGACTCATAACGAATATGTGATGGCTGATTGAAAGCCAATTAATGCGTCCAATGTGATAATTCAAATATGTCGAGTATTGTCGATGTAAAACCTCATCTTTTGCTTCATATTAGCTCAGCCGTCGCATTGTTCAGTCTATAATATAATATATCATAAAATATAATATAACATAATATAATACTGTTTCTACGTATTTTCATTTCAATTTTCTCAAATGGTTACGTCAATTTCCAGTTGGTTTACACAATAACAGATAGTAGCTATTTGTTCCCTCAATAAAGTGAGTAATGTTTGGTTGAAGTTGTTGTGATTATCGCTAACCATTAATTTATTTATTGATCACGATGACGCTGATACATTATAAATAATGCCTGTTGTTTATTGTGTTCAGCAGTAATGTTCATTTTCGTTCACTTATCAATGTGTATCGTTTGTTGTTCGTTTTCGTGCCATACTATCGAGATGTTATTGTACGTGAATGTTTTTGGAGCGTACGCTGATTAGTTTTTATGCAACTCGGAATAGTCATCATTGTGTCAATTGATTACTGCAATTACTTAATCGCAATCAAGTTTTGTGTACATGAATTTTGAGGTCACTCATGAGTCCTTCATTTTTTGCATAAAATTTCACTTCAATAAGGAAGAGAAATTAGAGCAGAAATCTTTTAGTGAGGTTCAAAATAATATGCGCTCTACATTTTACTTTCTATCATTGGTCGTCTACGAGCGATGCATTTGCTTGATAATAGAAACGAAGTTTTTGCGTGAAACTCTGAAAAGTTCCTGAGGAAGGTAAGGTGGTCTCACTCTGGGATAAGAATTCAGTGAATCAATTTGAGGAGAATTTCCGTTTCTCCTGTAACTCTTGAGGTGATTTCACAGAAACCACTCTATGTATCTTTCTTCGGTTCTTTCGATTCTTGTTCATAAATTGATGAAGCATTCATAAATTCAGCAGTTAATGATTAATTCCGTATCTTGGTCAGAGCACTTTTGAGCCTCGCTTGAGTTGAAATTCAGCTTTTTTTGAGCTGATTTTTGTTTGTAGTAAGGCTCAAGTTTGCGTCAGGTCAAGTTTGAAATGAACTTAGCTTTGGCTTAGCTCGGACTGTGGCGCTGAGCATTATCGCTTATTTGTACGCGACTTTTTTCTTTACGCTTGTTCAGTTTGTCGATGATATATTAGCAATCGCAGTTGTGTGATAACACGAGTGCAATAATTATTTATTGAATGGCGCAACTATTGCGACAAACATGAGATCTTCCGTCTTTGAACACAAAATAAATTCGTTACTGAGGCCAGCGCCAGACATGCAAACAACGCTCCAAAACAATCGCTCACGCCTCAAACTAAGGAAATTTGATTGGTAAATACCAATAAATTCTTAACGAGAGGAAATTATCGAACATAATTTCAACACGCAATCAAAATTAAGTTATGCCGAAATTTTGTGGAAACATTAAAGAATATGATCGCACCCTGCTATTGAGAAAACGAAAACAAATCGATGTGATAAAATGTTCTAGATGATTTAAAAGAATCCGATGAATCACTATTGAAGTGTGTTCTTAAACGAGGAGTTTAATGAATGAACTTTGATTTGTTGACTAAACTGGTGAGGCGAGCACAATAAACAGTTGGTGCTTACACTTACTATAAGATGGTTTTTATGCTTAGACCGAACAGCAGTCAAAGGAATTGAACGTAAACTGCTGCAAAGATGAGAACGACGAAGTGGAACCGGTTCTACCAGAACATAAATATTTCGTTAAATTGGCGGATGAACATGCATGTTCAACAACACTTTCACTCTTGACACTAAATCCAGCATATTTGCGGTGATTACAATGCTTGTGCTGCAAAAGCACATTAGCAATCGACTAACTTTTCTTCAACATCAACCACAAAAATATGAGCTGTACTGTTCCATGTAGACCCCATCGGCGCCGAAACTGCTCAAGGATCGATATTGACAGACATCTCAACATTGTATACAACACGTTTTCGATTGTTCTTAATCAGTTGAAAACATTCGAAAACATTTGTTGTACCAGTGATCTGAAAAAATACGATTGGATCGAGAAAAAAAATCATATTTTTGAACGATTCTGAGAATATTCCTCAATTGCTCAGCATTATATATGACACTCCAAGTGTGGAGGTTTTGAGGAATCGAACGGTGGAAGAAAGTCACATGATACCGTACAAATGTGAGAGTACCGAAATGTTGAAGATGGTATATTGATCAATAGCGATACAATCTATACGAACGAGTGCCTTTGCGCTAGTTGAGATAGCTTTAGGAGAATAAATGTATCTCCTCAAGTAAGCGGAGTTCCCCAACAAAATAAATGTTCCTCTGAATCTGGAGGTTCTGAGGGATTGAATGGTGCAATGAAATTCATATTTTATTGAGCGAATTTGAGAGGACGGTAGGCTTGAATATGGTAACCTCTGTAGCAATGAGTAAATAGCAATATCTGCTCACACGAGCAGAATTACGTTACTATAGCTCTATAGGGATCAACATTTTCAGGATCAACATTTTCATTCTAACGGTACTCTCAGGCTTCCACAGCAACATGTTTCATTATCTCAGCCATCAGATTCTCCAGTTCCAGAAAAGTTTACATGATAGGTGACGAGTTTGCTCGATTTTCGGATTTTGTCGGTCACTCGATATATGCATGCTGATATACTCCATATTATTCATTCAGCAGTTTTGCTAAAATTATCCTAAAGCACTTCATTGCTAGAAAGCGATTCGCTTGTGAGAGCGATTCGAATGCTTAGAAATGTGATGAGCGGTTCAATTGTAT